TTATTTTATCTTTTTTGTGCAGCACTTTGGAAACCTTGTGTTTATTGAACTCGTGCTATATAAATAAAGTGGATTGGATTGGATACTCTGAGGGCTAGACAGGCACACACACACACACACACACACAGACATACACACACACACACACAAACACACACAGCTTGGACTTCAGACAACAGATGGATAGATGGGTGTGAATTGACCTAAAGTTCTGTTTTTGTGACATCAGTAAACTGAGCGTTCTCAGCCTTTAGACTCTCCTTCAGTCCGGACTCACCTGGACAAGATGCCTACAAAGTTCCTGGGGCTGGATGAATGGAGGAGGGGCTTGATGTTCCTGAGCTCACTCCTGAACGTCTGAAGCTCCACCCCTCTGCTGACACGGAGGATCTGCTGGATCTCAGCAGGCCTGAAAACCCACAGAGACGGTTAGTTCTGCAGCTCTGTGGTAATAATCTGTAATTGTTTATATCTATGGAGGACCTGTCGGCCAGCAGGGCGGAGATGTTCTGGAACTCAGCGCTGCTGGGGGGAACAGCCTCGATGCTGCAGCGAAGGGAGCGGTACTTCCCCACGGAGGATGGCGTGGAGCACGTCATCTCCGTCACGTTTAGAAAATCTCGGATTAACTGGAGGAAAATAAATCAAGAACTTCACCGTCTGAGGAAACATAGAAACCTGTAGCCTGAATGTGTGCTAATACCTGACAGAGGTCTAGCTTCTGAGACAGAAGCTTTGCCGTGGGAAACGGTGGTCTGGGATCTTTGTGAGGGAGCAGGGTGTAAACCTCCTCCAGGAGAGACGACGCCTCGGACGGATTTCCCTCCTTCAGTTTCCTCTGAGCCTGAAGCAGCAGGCCCTCGGCTCTGCTCACCTGAAACAATCACAGCTTGGTCAGGACGCGGCCTCGGGGTGAACTCAGATCTGTAGATCCATGCAAACCTACATCGTTCAGGCTGAGCTGAGAGATGGGAACTCTGAGGATGTTTCCAAGGCAACCAAGAGCTTCGGTCCACAGCATCTCTACGAACAGCGCCACCTCAGGGGACAAGGTGCTCGAGTTCAGCTTGTTCTCCAGCAGCAGCTGAGGGTCAATCAGAGAGACGACCGATGAGCTGATGCTGCTAACGGAACAAACCAGCTAACGGAACAAACCAGCTAACGGAACAAACCAGCTAACGGAACAAACCAGCTAACGGAACAAACCAGGTAATGGAACAAACCAGCTAACGGAACAAACCAGCTAACGGAACAAACCAACTACAGATCCACAAACCTCAGCTTTTCTAAATCACCTTAAGCAGCTAATTTAATCTGACCGCCTTAAGAGGACAGATGGTGATTTGTTGGTTTATTGACTGGATATGAACATAAATATAAACAAATTACACATTCTGAAGAAGTTCAGACTCATC